TTTTACCAATTTTCAATCGATTCGCCTAGCGCATGGCACATCTCCATAATTGAATCCTGCGAAGCGAAATCCTCCAACTCTTTACGATTCCACCATAAATCCCGGGTACACAACCGACCATAAATCTCGCCAGGCGATTAACCCACGTTTTCATCTTCGCATTCGGATTAATCTCTCATTATTGCCTGTAATTAACCCGAACCGCTGCTAGACTACCCACCGGCCTCCTCTCTCCTTTCCCTTCGAAGAACAAAGAATACATCCGCCCTCCCTTCCAATATATATATATATACTCGTCGATTTCTTTCAGCAATTTTCTTCTCGAAAATCGGTATGGTCGATACCGATTGCAGGGAAAAATCGGGCCGAGAAACCGGTCGATTCCATTTACATTAGGATTGCACGTGAGCAACGTGCGCGTTATCTTGTCGCGTCGTCCTCCACGATTACGCGGCCCGAACGCTAATTGTTCTCATCCTGCCCGCTTAATTTTCAAAAGGCGTAGGAAGCGCAGGGCGAGCGCTTATCCTATCTGCGAGTCACGCTGGGTAGCCACGTCCCCCCACCCCTTTTCGTGATACCGAAACAGAGGGGGAGTGGAGAGGGCTTGAAAGGGGAGGCAGATAGGCAGCTACATTGAAAGGATAGATAACGGGCTGGTATTGTGCGCCTCCGCGCATTACTTAATCCGATATCCGGAGGAAAAGGAACTCGACTGATTTCGAGTTTTGCGACGAGTCGATACCTCGTTTCAATTGAGATGTGAGAATGTTTGTTGTAAATGTCGAGTCGAGTTTGAGTTTCCACTCGAAAATTTGTTTCGTCTCGAATTTTAGAGAGAGAGAGACTTAGACTCGAGAATAAATTTTTATTCCATAAATGAAATTCGAAGAAATTTTTATTTAAAAATTTGTTGTTTCTAAAATCCTTTTAGAAAATTTCCTTTTTCTTTCCTTGCCAGACTTGGAATTAAAGCATACGATTCCTGAGATTTCTTTTATTTCATATTTTTCGTTCTTGGTTTCGTAAGGGGGGAGGAAAAATGGGAATTTAAGAAAAGATCGATGTACTTTGACCTTTCGTGGTAAGAATCACATTCCTCCGTAGGAGCTAACGTCTGACGATGAGTGGTGCAACCACCTCTGCGTCTACTTGATGAGCGATTGTTTTAGAATAGTGAATCCCGACGTAGGAAGCGATGGAACAGCCGAAGGGCGGTCCCTGCCTCTCAACGAGCGTTCAAAAGATTTTTCTACCTGGACCATTCACCAGCCAGTATTATCGATATATTAACGTCGTTCTTTATTATCCAAGCATTGTTGCATCCTTAATACGCGTTTCTTCGCGCAACGCACGCTTGTCTCATTTGCAAAACATTCTCGTTCGAGTATCCAACGTGGTATAAGATCATATGTCAAACTTTTTAACATCCTTGCGAAGATCGTACAATGTATCCGGCATTTTTCCTTCCCTCTCTCTCCCTCTCTCTCTCGCTTCCAATGCACAAACATTCGAATCATAAATTATTATTAAACGACACTAAATCTTTTTCTTTTTTTTTTTTTTCCTTAGAATTTCTCGAACAATTTGAATTTTTTTCTCCGTTACGTTCGAATTGAACGAATTATTAATTACCATCTTCCAACGCATCGAAAGAATTAAAATAATATAACGATATGTATATGCTTCTCTCGTTATCTCTAATTCAACGATCCAAATCGCGTTTAACGACAAAATGCACTTTTTCGAAACAGGGGAAACAGTGTTTATTTACTTCCCGTACAAGTAGCCTAATTTGCATGCTTATCGAGCGTGGTCCGGTTCTCTGAAGGGGATCATTGAAAATCCAGCGTAACGGATGGGATCCTGCCATTTTTCGAGGCGAAATTACGCGCGTCGCGGTGCACCGATATTCGCGTTACACCTTGGTATTATCTTACGGTTATTGATATTTCGTCGTCGCGATCGTGTTACTGAATTCGCGTGTGGGATCGTCATCGAGCAACTGCACTGCACACGTACACGCGGCGTTTTGTTCGCGTTTTTCGTCCACCTTCGTCGAATCACGAAACCGTTCGGTTTTCCGTTGCGTAATACGCGAATTCAATAGGAAGGAAAGAAACGTTGAGCGCCTTCGTGCTTTTCCAATCGAACCATGTATATTTCACTCACTTATGTGGCGATATATCTAATACTTGAAATACTTGAAAATCTTTGATCACGTCTTTCGTATATCCAATCGAATCGTGTATATTTCGTCAGTTGTATAGCGTCGATATATGTAATGAAATAAAAACGTGTTTCGTATTATTATTACCAATCGAATTTATATATATATATCGTTGTGTAGTAATAATTGAAAATCTTTGATCAGTTTTTTACATCCAATCGAATCGAATATATTCGTCGGTTCATATCGATATATCTAATGAAATATCTGATCATCTTCTTTGATCTTTTGTATATCCAATCGAATCGTATATATTTCGTCAGTTATGTCGATACATCTAATAACTGAAAATCTTTGATCATGTCTTTCGTATATCCAATCAAACTATATTTCCTCAATTATGTAGTAATAATTGAAAATCTTTGATCACGTCTTTTGTATATCCAATCGAATCTTCGATATATCGTGAAACAACTGGAAATCTTTGATCACGTCTTTTATATCCAATCGAATCGTACATATTTCGTCGATCCATATCGATACATCTAATGTGAAATAAGTGAAAATCTTTGATCAGTTGTGTTGTTTCGTATACATCGTGGTGTTAAGAGCTTGTTGAAGAAATTTCAAATTTCAAATTTTGAGCATTCTTCTCGAATCACTCTGCTCCTCCTCGTACGTAATATATCCGACGATTGATCCTCCCCAAAAATTATTTTTACTTTCAACCGTACGTGATTCACTTATTCATTATTACACTCCCCGATTCTCGTCTCCCTCCTTTTTTCTTCTTCGATAAGTCGGTGAACCGAAGGAAAGTGAAATTTCAACGCCATTATGTTACAACACATGTATCCAAGATTTGCAAGCAGACGAGATCCAGTTTCCTCCAGCGACGAGCCTCGCCGCTGCTGCAGCTGCATAGTTGCCGCTCGAGCTCTCGCGCGAGCGAGAACACGTCAACATACACCGTGAGAGAGTAACCTGTCAGACACGCCGCGTTATCCGTGGCGAAATAAAAAAAACAAAATGGGTATATACACGGGGGAGGGGAGAGGGGATGGATGGAGGGATCTTCGATCCATCAAAGTCCAAGTCAACCTTTCTACCCCCGTGTCCTCGTCTCACCCTTATTCAACGTCACTCTCGCAGATACGTATCCACGAAAGTGGGTTTCACCGAAGTTTGACGAATTTATTTTTTAGTCGGGGCGAGAAGGTATCTTTTTTTTTCTTTTTTGGTTTTCCAACTCGACGAGGAATAAAACGGGAGGATAGTTTTAGCGAGACTCGTTTGGTAATCTTTTGTTAAAGAGGCAGGTAGGTAGAGGTGTTTGGTAAGCGAAGAGAGTGAACTTTTAACCAAGTTCAGAAAGTTCATGTTTTAACGATGTTGCATGTAAGAATAGTATTAAACGTTGGTTCGAATCTTTGCTTCTTCGATTAAAAAAAAGGCGTGGATGGATATATGGATGAATATGGGTTGGGAATCACCTTAGGAATTCTTATTCTCGAGATCCGAAGCGGATAATAAGCTTTTCGACCGATTCTTTCCAGAGATATTCGATCGAACGCGCGCAATTAATCCGGCAATTTTCCCGCGGGATTTTCCCGTTCTCTACCCTTTGGAACGAAGGCCTCGTAAATCTCGTCTGGCTACGTGAAAATCGTCCGAACGAAAACGAGAATATGCAATCGATCGTGAAACCTTCGATCCCGCGATTAACCTTACAGTTTAACAGTAATCCATTAACACTTTCGACAATGGTAAATTATGCTTTCTATTATTGTAACCCTTTCAGCGGGGAAAAAATTCCATTAATATTTAAAGTCGCTAATAATTAAAATTTTTATTATCTTGACTTTTTCATGGGAAGAAAGTGTCACTGGTAATTAAAATCTCTGTCACCTTAATCATTATCTCAGTAATAATATAAAATCTCTGTTACTTTAACCCTTTCAGAGGGAAGAAATTTATATATATACAATAATAATTAATATCTCTATTGCCTTAACCTTTCGAGAAGAGAAAATTTCATTAATATTTAAAATCCGCCGTGCATCAAAAGACAATTTCTAAACATATTATTTCAGAATATCAGGAGGACAAATATTTCTCAATCTAAAATCACGCTCCTCTCCTGCAACAAACAAAACAAAAAAAAAAAAAGACGCGTATTCCTCGACGCTCTCGATTCTCGTCCATCGAACGTGTATCGATACAACTAAAAAACCGACTCCAATTTTTCGAAACGATCGAACCGAAAGCTGAACCGCCATGTAACCGAGCAACAAGCTATTTCCAACCATGAATCAATTCATCATTATCCGCTATCCAACCTTGTCAATCCAACCCGCTGTTTTCTCTAAGAAGCACTCGTTCATTTCGAATCATTAAGCCGCGCCAACGATCCCCGATTCACTGTTATTACGCATCAACCGATCCACCGTCGTTTTTCACCAACTCTCTTCTTCTCCACCGATCGAGATCGAAATTTCCATCGTTTTTCTCCTCACGTTTATTATCCCTTACGTTTTCCACGGAATTCTCGATTCTCCCTCCTCGATGACGAAGAAGGCTTCTCTTCGTTCGACCAGATTTACCAATAGTGATGGACGTGATTCACGCGTGTCTGCAACGAGTAACCGGCCACTTCCGGCGGCAACCGCCCAACAGAAAAACCAGAGTGTCTCTGGCAGGAGTTTATGCCGGCGAGACACGCGAGTTCATCGAAGGAGGATTGCTCTCCTCGCGACATATCCTGTTTCTTCCACGATCGACCGATATATCGTGGAGAGAGGGATGCTTCTTTTTTTTTTTTTAAACCTTTGGTCCGTTCGAAACGAGAGATTTTTATCGGCCAAGTTTTTCTTTTTTCTCGAGAAATTTCTCGTCTCTCCCTTTTACGAGATTAGATGTATCACTCGCGTGATTATATCTTGGAATGGGAGATCGCGATAAGCAGAGGCGGAAATAGCAGGTGGCGATATATAAATTTAAAGATTAAATTTGCGTAGCGTAAATAATAATAATAATAATAAAATTTGGAATTTTCTTCAGTTTCTGGAAAATGGATTCAACGAGAAATGTTTCTCGAAGAAAGAAGAAGGATAAGAATAATTTGTTTCGAGGAACAAGAAGTAATAAGAATCTTCAGATTTGTGAAAAAAAAATCCGAAAGAGATTCCAAGATTTTAAACGGGAAGGAAAGTATTTAAAGTAGAGAGAATGTTCTATGACTATCTCAGGAAGAAAGTTTTTCATGGAAAAAAACATTCTCGAAAATTTATTCACCCTTCGACCTGACGCGATCGACCTCGAGTAGAAATAGATTTATTTGTGAAATTAGTATGCATACCGTACGTACAGGTTGGCGGTCGAACGAGCAGGGACGCGCGAGCGAGCAATGGTGACATTATGTATCGACGAGATACGTATCGGATAAGAAAGAAAGAAAAAAAAAGGAGAGAGAAAAAAGGCATTCTTTTCACCGTTTCTCCTTTATAAATCTTATTAACACCGCCGGGGCTACGGATTATGGATCGAGGTTACAAGACAATCGAGGAAGTGTATCGAACGAGGAGAAAACGATCGCGTGTCATTGTGTCGCGAGCGCGCCTTCTCTCGCGAATCGATACGCTTTTGCCGCCATCCACTCGCGAGGGAAACAGGCGGCGGAGACGTTAATCCATTTGCAGCCGTGAAATTGTTGCTTGGGAGAAAGTATATTACACCGCGTGTAATACCGTATTCTTATCGTGAAATTTCAATCGATAGGAAAATTATTTTATCACGCGTGCATGTGTGTGTGTGTGGTATGTACATCACAGGAGAGGAGGGAGGGAGTAAGTAGAAAAATTCTTCGACTCGAAGAGATGAAAGTCAAGGATAAGAAAATTGTAAATAGGAAGAATATATCGAATTTCTTCGAGTGATTTCTAATTGAAATAAAGAGAGTTGGATGGAATG